CCTCATGAGCACAATTAAGTGTTCTGGAATACTCATACTTCACAATGTTGTCCATAGCTTGTCATGATCCACACAATCGAAAGCCTTTGCGTAGTTAGTAAAGCACAGGTAAACATCATTCTGGTATTTTTTTGCTTTAAGCCAATATCCATTGGACATCAGCAATGATATCCCTCATTCCACGTCCTCTTCTGAATCTGGCTTGAACCTCTGGAAGTTCTCTGTTAATGTATGCTTATAGCCTTTTCTGTATTACCTTTAGTAAAACTTCACTTGTATGGGATATCAAAGAGATTGTCTGATGATTTCCGCATTCTGTTGGGTCAGCTCTTTTTGTAATGGGCATAAATATGGATCTCTTCCAATCAGTCGGTCAGATAGTTGTCTTCCAAACGGAAAATTCAACATATTTACGTTAATGAAAATAGTTAATATTTTCAATGATTTCTTCTTTGCTTTCCTATATAATGTAACCAGTTTGCGATTATGAATCAATTTGCTCAATTTTTATTAAAAAGATATTTGTCTCTGATTTTCATTGTCTTTGCATCCTGTTTAGCTAATATCTATCATTGGAAATCAGGGAAACAGCAAGGCTTGGCTGAATTACAGTTTTTTGGTACTGCTGATTTCAGTGTTCATTTTCAGAGTGGTAGAAATCTAAATACTATAAAGACATTCAGTTTTCTATTTTCCTAAACCCACCCTGTTGTATGATTTCACTTCTAATGTTTGTGAACCATATAACTTTGTAAGGTGACTATCTGTAATTAGAAAATTCTATAGAGAGTTTGCAGTGTTTAATGGGAACCAATCAGCAACTTCACTTGTAAAATACTCAAATTTGTTCCTTTCATTTTCCAGCCCTTGTAGATGATTCCTAGGGAATCATATAGCTACATTAGAAGCTGCTTCCATAAAGAGAGGTATAATCTTTCACGGGGGCTTCTTTGATTTGGACCTAGATGAGGTGGGAAACCATCCAAGTGCAAAGTATTGGAGACATTTCCTTGTTATATACTGGGAGAGAAAATATTGAATGAAACCAATATCTTAGTGGCAGTAAAGTGTTCACTCCACCTTTTAAAACCTCTTTTTCTGTAATTTTGAGCTCTACTGAGAAAAGTCAGTACTGTGTTTAGAAATCAAAGTGTCTTATTGGAGTCAGTCAACTTACAGTTCTTTTATCAGCTAAGGGTTCAAATTCATTGTTGTTGTTGTTAAGTGCCACTGAGTTGGTTCCTACTCATAGCAACTCAGTATAGGGTTTCCAAGGATCAGCTGGTATGTTTGAACCACCGACTTTGTTGTTCAAACCAATGTTTCAGTCCTGTGCTTATCCTATTTCGCAGCATCATTTATGAGTGGTAAATTTAAATCTAGGTACCTGGTATGGCGCTGCAGGGTAATGCATTGGACTACAAGGTCAGCGGTTCAAACTCACTAGCCACTCCTCAGAAACCCTATGTAGGCACTTAACAACAACTACCTGGGTGCCTGATCATATTTCTGCAAAAGAAGATGCACTTTGCATGTTGTTGTTGTTAGGTGCCATTGAGTTGGTACTGACTCATAGCTACGTTATGCACAGCAGAACGAAACACTCCCCAATCTGGGCCCACCTCACTACTGTTGCCACGCAATGCTGATCCATCGATGCTGCCACTTGGCCGATCCATCTCGTTGAGGGTGTTCTTCTTTTTCTCTGACCCTCCACCTTACCAAACATGATATCCTTCTCCAATGACTGGTCCTACCACTCATCTGTCAGTTCGTTGCTGTGATTCTGAAAGCTATGCCACCTGTATTTTAAATACCAGCAGGGTCACCCATGGTGGACAGGTTTCAGATGAGCTTCCAGACAAAGACAGACTAGGAAGAAAGAGTGGTGAACTACTTCCGAATATTTAGTCACTGAAACCCTTATGATAGCACTTTGCGTAGGGTGATATAAAGCAGTAATTACCTTAGAGGAAACACTTAACCTCAGTTTTAACAGAACAGGGTTAGATTTATGTTATATCTGACGTATTGTGTTAAAGACTTTAGTCTAGCATACGTGGACACTGAACACTAACTCCCATGACTCACTTGCTGATTAAACAATAGATATTTTTTAGCATCTTTTGTGTACTCATCATTGCTGCAGGTCCTGGGGATAGATTTGTAAAGAAAAGATACAAATCCATTCCTGCAAGCAGTTTATGCATTGTTGTTGTTGTTGTGAAGTTCCATCAAGTCGATTCCAACCCATAGCGACCCTGTATAGGGTTTCTGAGGAGCAGCTGTTGAGCTTGAACCGCCGACCTTGCAGTTCAAACGGCTTTGCAGGCTGGCGCATTAACCCACAGCGTCATACCAGGACTCACATTAGTGGAAGATAAAGACAATAAGCATGATAGATAAAAGAAGTATAGCGCATACCACTAAAGCCTGTTGCCAGGCTTTTTTTTCCCAAGGCACCTCTGGGTGATCTCCAATTGCCAAGCTTAGTTGGCAACTGAGCTCTTTAGCTGTTTGCACTGCCCAGTGTTCCTTACAGTATACTGGAGAGTGTTGTGTACGGAAAAAAGCAGGGGAACCATGCAGGGGGTGTGGATATGTGTGTGTGTATATGCAATTACCCTACCCACTCACCCGATAACCTCTACTTCACCCTTTCTGTCACGGTAAGTCCATTGCTTAGTTTTTCATTTAATACGTTTTACCTATTTCTTAATGAACTGCCTGTCATCTCACTTGGGTGAGCCAGAAAATTTATGATGACAAAATTTTTAAGTTGATCTGTTTGTCCTAGGTTCTGGGGGCCTGGGGGTCACGTACGCGTTGTGACCAAAGATAGAACCATATTTGTGGTTCCAGCTTAACTTTCCATTGTGTGACCTAATGTGTTGGTGGAGTCTCCTCACCAAAGATGCCCTGACTCTGTCCCCTATCCCAGCAGCTACTAATTCCCCTGAAAAAAAAAAAAAAAAAAAAAATTCTCTGCATCGTGTGACCAGGTCAGTGTGGGTGTATTATAAGCAGTATGGGGAGAGGCCCCAGTGCCATGGTCCCCTTCCTTCTAGGAGAAGGAATGGCAGTAATCCTACAGCTTAGATCTCACCCACCGATGGGGAGGCCCTTGGAATGGA